CTTACAATGGAACACAAAACTTACAACAGAACAGCTCTAGTTCACCATATAAGAAAATCCCCTGGGTCCGAACCAATCAGGAACAACCGCTTTTGATCTGGAAATACCAGAGGTGACCCCAGCCAATCCACCCTACCCTGCACCCCTTGATGACGTAACCCTGCTTTAAAAGATGCTCCGGAGCACAGCTCAAGGCCTCCCTCTGCCCTCTGCTGCGTGGTTGGTTAGACGGGGTCCCTGGCATGGCTTGTACTTCCGAAATAAACCTTGCTTTTCCATTTCGTTGTGTTTGAGTGTCTGGTGGCATTTGGGGATCCAACGATCTGGGCATAACATCTTGGGGGCTTGTCCGGGATCCCCAAAAGCCCCCCAGCGACCTTGACCCCAAAGGTTTGCTCCAGTCAACTGGGTGAATTCATTAGTCTCTTTGTTGTCCGAGTGTATTTGATTGTTAACTGTTCTGTAGTGCAGCCATTGCATCTGAAGTCTGAATCTGAGGGTCTTGCCCAAGCAGACGCGCTCGTGGGGCAACCTTGAAGGAAATGGGAGATGTCCTGATTCCTCATCTGGGTGAGGATTCCGATCTCGAAATCCTCCTGTCTGGGACCTGGGAAGGTCTAATCTGTAACTCTGGGGACGAAGAGGAAACTTTGTTGCAGCTGCAGAGTTCTCATCCCATCCAAACGGTCCTTGGTCTCCATCAAACTCCCAGAGGTTCGCCCTTGGTGGCTCCCAGAGGTCTGCCCTCGGAGTGATTGAGATCTTCTGTAATAAGACCATCTGTATCTGTCTGTGGAAATTCAGTACAGGCCCAGTGTCTGCTTGTCTTTTTGCTAATTAGTGTTTGTCTCATTCTATTTCTTTTTTTTTTTTTTTTGACAGGCAGAATGGACAGTGTGAGAGAGAGAGAGACAGAGAGAAAGGTCTTCCTTTTCCCATTGGTTCACCCCCCCAATGGCCGCTGAGGCTGGCGCACTGCGGCCGGCGCACCACGCTGATCTGAAGCCAGGACCCAGGCGCTTCTCCTGGTCTCCCATGCGGGTGCAGGGCCCAAGCACTTGGGCCATCCTCCACTGCACTCCCAGGCCACAGCAGAGAGCTGGACAGGAAGAGGAGCAACCGGGACAGAATCCAGGGCCCCGACTGGCACAAGAACCTGGGGTTCTGGTGCCACAGGTGGAGGTTTAGCCTATTGAGCCGCGGCACTGGCCTCATTCTATTTCTGTTGATGACTGAATTGACGGGACGGAAAATGGGGGCGACTCCATCCTCTCCATTAGACTGACCCTTGTACATTGGAAAGATGTTAAAAAGGTGGCTCATAACAGTGTAAATGTTAAGAAAAACAATTAGGTTAGTTTCTGCACCTTGGAATGGCTCCCTTTTGATGTGGGCTGGCCCCAAGAAGGAACATTTAATTTGACTATTATTTCTAAAGTTGAAGATTTGATCTTTCAGCCTCGAACTGGACATCTGGATCAGGTACCCTACATTGTAACCTGGAGGAGTCTCGAACGGGTAGATGGACCCCTCCCCAGGGTCCGATCCTTTTTACCAAATTCCCCAATACCAGTTTCTAATCCGTCTACTCCCTCAGTTACTCCCTGTGAAAACAAAAGAAAAAGAACAAAAACCACCTGTTCTCTAAGGAGGGACGGATGAGTCTGAACTTTTCCCCTGCCCTATTCCCCTCTGGCGGGGAATGCAACCCCACCATGGGAGGAGGCAGGGCAGCGAGAGGAACTCCCCCAGGGGCCGGCTCAGTCCACTCAGAGCTGCAGGGGAGTCCCTCCCCAGCCCAACACCACGGTAACGCTGCCCCTAAGACCGGCAGGACCAGTGGACGCCAATGGCAACCAGCTCCTCTGGTACTGGCCGTTTGCAATCAGTGATCTGTACAACTGGCAAATGCAAAATGCCCCTTTCTCTAAGAATCCCCAAGAACTTATTAACCTTTTAGAAACTGTTTTGTTCACCCACCAGCCTACCTGGGATGATTGTAACAAGCTTTTAAGTATCCTTTTCACCATGGAGGAGAGGAACCGGATTCTGGAGGCAGCCCGAAAAGCAGTGCCGGGACTGACCAGGGCCCCTTTGACAGATCTGGTGACCATTAATGCTTATTTGCCTGCCACCCGCCCTGATTGGGACTATAATACAGCACAAGGTAAGGAGAGACTCCAAGTCTATCGCCAGGCTCTGATGGCGGGTCTCAAAGTGGTGGCACGCAAGTCGACCAATATGGCCAAAGTTTATGATATCAGGCAGGGAGCAGATGAGAGCCCTGCAGCTTATCTAGAACGGCTGTTAGAGGCTTTTCACCAATATATGCCCTATGACCTTGAGGCAGAGGAATTGGCCTAAATGACAAAAAGTTAAATGTCTAAACTGGTAGCCGGTATGCCTTCACCACTGCCCATGTCCACAGGGCTATTTATCAGGAGAGGGGCCTGTTGACTGCAGAAGGAAAGACTGTCAAAAACAAACAAGAGATCCTGAGTCTCCTCACAGCCCTGTAGGGGGCCCAAGAAACTGGCAATCATTCATTGCCCAGGCCACCAAAGAGGCTTAGGGCCTATCCACCTGGGAAATAACTTGGCAGATAAGGTTGTCAAAGAAATAGCTGAAACCAGGAAAATTACTCCTGTCCTGGTGGACCCAGGGGTGTGAGATTTGCCAGAGACCCCCCAGTACACTGGGTTATATACTGGGAAGTTGACTTTACTGAAATTAAGCCAGGAAAATTTGGCTATAAATATTTATTAGTGTTCATGGATACTTTTTCTGGATGGATTGAAGTCTTCCCCACAAAACATGAAACTGCCAATGTGGTAGCAAAATAACTGGTTGAAGAGATCGCGTCCAGGTATGGATTTCCCACCATGATCGGGTCAGACAAGGGCCTGGCTTTCGTCTCGCAGGTAAGCCAGGGAATAGCCACTGCACTGGGGGAAAATTGGAAATTACATTGTGCAAACAGGCCCCAAAGCTCAGGACAGGCAGAAAGAATGAACAGAACTCTAAAGGAGACCTTAACTAAATTGGCCTTAGAGACTGGCATGGACTGGGTAACTTTCCTTCCCTTTGCTCTATTCCCCCTACCAGCTAAGCCTTACTCCTTTTGAAATTATGTATGGGAAACCCCCTCCCCTAGTTTACAGTCTGATTTGATTGCTATTTTAGATGACCAGGATGTCCTGGATGCTGTGCGTCGGCTCCAACTTACCCACCAGGATATTTGGCCTAAATTAAAAGCTGTATATAAAACTGCTTCTCCCCCTACCCCTTATAGATTCCGACTGGGGGATTGGGTTCTGGTTCGGAGACATCATCACAAGACTCTTGAGTCTCGATGGAAGGCCCCTTCGTCGTCCTCATGACAACTCCCACAGCTCTCAAAACAGACGGGGTCGCTGCATGGATCCACTACTCTCACGCCCGACTGACAGACCTGGCCACTCCTCCTACAACGGAGCCCTGAGGAGAAACCTGGAACATCCTCAAACATCCATCCAGCCCACTGAGACTCAAATTGCACAGAGATGGGGCCCAATCCCAAAACCCTTCCAGCTAGCTTTGATTTTGCTTTTGCTCTTGTTCTTCTTTTCCTTCCATCAAGCTTCGGCTGTAAGTAACCTTCATCAACCGTACCAGTGGGTGCTGAATAGACATGGCAAAGTCCTACAATCAGGGACCGGAACACTTGGTGGCCAGCAATGGTGTCCTTTGTAATGACCCTTTGTGCTCTGGCCCCTCTCGGTTGCTGCTTAAATGCTAGGAACTTTTATATGTGCCCTGCTTCAGGACCAACATATTGTAACAATCCCAGTCACTATTACTGTGCCTACTGGGGGTGTGAAACAATAGCATCTAACTGGATACTAAAACCAGGAAAAGATCCAAATATCAAGGTACAATGGTGGCCGGAAAATTGTATACCTAACAGCCCTTTCGGGAGTGGTGGATGGAAACAAAATCATAAGGTCAACAACTGACTACGTGAACAAATCCAAATTAATATAACCAACTCCAGTGACCCTAAATGGGCCTAGGGAAGGAGCTGGGGTGTTAGATGTTATAAGGAAGGAACGGATCCAGGAGGGATATTTTCCTTTCAGAGGTTTCTGGCAGAGGAGTCAGTGGCAATAGGCCCCAATAAGGTAGTAAATCTTCAACCAACACAATAGCTGACCCTCAGTACGGTGGGCCCCATTATTGACTCTAAACCTGACACAATAAGCCCTACCGTTTTCTCTGGACTCACAAGGGTTACTAATGCCCCCAACACCCTTGATCCTCAATTTCCTGTAAAACACCTGCCATTAGATTTGCTTGCCCAGTCTTTCCAGGTCCTAAATGCTACCAGCCCAAATTTAACAATGGCTTGTAGGCTTTGCTATGACATAGCTTCCCTCCCACCCCCCCATTTTGAAGCTTATGTGGTCACCACTGTGTTTTCTTAAATTTATTATTATTATTATTATTATTTTTTTTTTTGACAGGCAGAGTTAGACAGTGAGAGAGAGAGAGACAGAGAGAAAGGTCTTCCTTCTGTTGGTTCACCCTCCAAATGGCCGCTACAGCCAGTGCACTGCGCTGATCCAAAGCCAGGAGCCAGGTGCTTCCTCCTGGTCTCCCATGTGGGTGCAGGGCCCAAGCAGTTGGGCCATCCTCCACTGCCTTTCCGGGCCACAGGAGAGAGCTGGACTGGAAGAGAAGCAACTGGGACAGAATCCGGCACCCCAACCAGGACTAGAACCCAGGGAGCCAGCGCCGCAGGCAGAGGATTACCCAAGTGAGCCATGGCGCCGGCCTCACTGCCACGTTTTCTAACTCTACCTCCTCCACTAACTGTAGATGGAAAAGCGGTAACCAGGGTTTAACTTTGGGACAGGTTACGGGGCAGAGACTCTGCTTGGGACAGGTCCCCCACAGCAAAAAGCATCTCTGTAATTCTACTCTTAAGGTATACCCGGCAAACCGGTATATCATACCTCACAATGACACCTGGTAGGCTTGTTCTACCGGCCTTACCCCTGTGCCCATCTCCACGTCTTAAATCACACTGATTATTGCATACTTGTTAGACTGGTCCCCAAAATTCTATATCATACAAATAATGAATTCTTAAATAGAGTCCAGGACAAACAGGAAATGACTGAAACCCACAGATATAAAAGGGAGCCCATAACCGCCCTAACTCTGAGTTTACTAATAGGAGCCAGCCTGGGGGGCTGGGCACCTGAGTATTGGCCCTAGTTACCCAAAATCAGCATTACTCCAAAATAAGTGCAGCTATAGATATTGCCATAGAACGCATAGAAAACGCCTTCTCATCTCTGGCTGAAGTTGTGTTACAGATGAGGTGGGGACTCGACCTAGTGTTCTTGCAACAAGGGGGGTTGTGCGCTGGTCTGGGGAAGAATGCTGCTTTTACGCTGATCACTCGGGCCTAATAAAAGATAACATGGCTCAAGGCAGGGAAGGGCTGGCAAAACAGAAAAAAAGAACGGAAACCTCTCAGGGGTGGTTCGAGTCTTGGTTTAATTCATCTCCATGGCTAACCACCCTACTAACAGGACTCACAGGGCCCCTTGTTCTCCTAATTCTAATCTTAACCTTTGGCCCTTACATTATGAACAGACTTGTGCAGTTCATGAAGCAGAGATTGGGTACCATTCAGTTAATGGTCCAAGGGTCCCAATATAAGCCTTTAAATACGACTGAAACTTATGTCAGTCCACAACCCATGATTGGGTCTTTAAATATGCACAAAAACAAGGGGGGAATGAAGGGCCAGAGTAACTCCATTTTGAAAAAGTGCCTCCATTCGGAGAGGCAGGCCCGACTTCCGGAAAAAGCAGCATCACTCTGGGGAGACCCAAACTTACGCAGGAACAGCTCTAGCATTCACCATATAAGGGAACCCCCTGGGTCCGAGCCAATCAGGAACAACCGCGTTGGATCAGGAGGTACCAGAGGTGAGCCCACCCTACCCCGCACCCCACCCCCCATCCTCCCAGAAGCCTCGGGCCTATGTCTTCTCTCTTTCGCTCTTGTACCGGCTCACCCTCGGCCTCCGGGAAGTTCCACGTTCCCGCCAGGTTCGTCTGTCCTGGCCGCTCACCCACTTCGCATACCCCCGGTCCCCGCGAGCGCGGAGCCCACTGCCCCAGCGCCCGGACTTGTCTTCCTCCGCGCGGAGACCCGGATGCTGGCCGCCCCGCCCCCCGGCTCACGCGCCCGGATCTACTTTCTCGGCGTCGCGGCCTCCTCGCGGCCTCCTCGCGGCCCCGGCGCTGACCGTTAACGCCGCCAACGGGCGAACCGGGGCGGCGGGGCCTGCGTGGCGAGGGCCACCTGCCTCACGGGCGTCGCCCCAGGCCGCCGCGCACTCCGTCCTCATCGTCCCCTTGCCCTTCCCTGGCGTCCATCGCCGCCTGCGTGACGCTCCCCAGGGGCTGCGGCTGGCCGGTGCGCGCCAGGTGAGGAACTTGGCCGTCACCGTCGCCTCCATCTCGACCCCCTGCTCGCTGAGGGTGGCCTCCTACGCTTGCGGCCTTGCCGCCGCCCTCGGGGGCTCTCCGCAGCCCAAGGCTGCCCCGAAGTAGTCTCCTCTACTTCGCTACCTGTTCCTCCCGCCTGTTTCGTGTTCCTTTTCAGGGCCGGCGCCGTCGCCGCTCCGAGGCCTCGGGCAGGCTCGGACCAGATCCGGGCCGGATTCAACCCTTTTGTCTACACCCGAGGGCCGCAGAGGTCACAGGGAGAGACACCTTTGCGGCTGTGGATCCTTGGAGTTCTTGGCGACAAGCAGGAAGGGGAAGCCGGGACCTGGCTGTGCTCGGGTGCGAGTGTGGGGGTCCCTCGCCCCGCCTGGCTCGAGGGCCCCCGGGGCCACTGACTTGCTGCCCGGAGATGTCACTTCTGGGGCCTGCTGCCATGACCTTGGCCTGGCTGCTTTTGTGGGTTGGGAGGGAGGTGGAGGAGGGAGCGTGGCTGGCATAATTTTGTGCCTGCCATGGTTCGCCAACTCCTGGACTGCCTGGGGGGCGGTGGCTCCTGAGACGTGGGGCTTCCTCCTCCTCCCACAGACTCCTCCTGGGTGCAGCCTTTCTCACCCATCAATCGCTCCTGCTGCAGTGGGTGCTCCTTCCTGGCAGGTGCAATGTCCACCCCCGCCGCGGGGCGGGGGACGGTCTGGGGGCAAACTTGTTGCTGCTTCTAGCTTGGTGGTGTCTGCCCAGTTACTCAGCCCCTGATGGACAACTCACCTGGGGTCCCGGAGAGGCTGGGGTCTCTCTAACTCGCCCCACCCCCCACTCTCTCTTCATTTCCTCCTCCGGTCCTAGCGTAGAAATAACACCACCATTTCTTTCTCCTGACTCTGGTCAGAAGGCCCGAGCTGGCCCTCGGAAGACCAAAATGACACTTCCGTGCCTTGCAGACTGTCCCCTGTTTGTACCTTAGTTTGCAGGCCAGAGGGATCCCTACCATTTTACTTTATCAGGGAGTCAGTTTGTTTTTTGGCTAGATGTTTTTATTTATCTGTTTTCATTTTTTAGTTTGGAAGGCAGGCAAAGAGAATTTGAAAGGCAGAGAGAGAAAGAGAGGTAGAGATATCTTCCATCAGTTGGTTCACCCCTTAATACCTGCAACAGCCAGGACTGGGCTAGGCTGAAGCCAGGAGCCCAGAAACTCAACCCCGGTCTCCCACATGGGTAGCAGGGACTCCAGTACTTGAGCTACCATCTGCTGCCTCCCAGGGTGTGCATTAGCAGGAAGCTGGAGTGGGAGGAGCAGTGGTGTTTTTTTTCTTCCAGTTCATTGAACTCTTATGACTATAAAGTAAACTGAAAGTAGGTCATTGTAAAGATTAAGAGAGGGAGGAGGGGGAAGGGTGGGAGCGTGGGTGGGAGGGAGGGTGGAGTGGGAAGTATCACTATGTTCTTATAACTGTATGTATGAAATACATGGACTTTGTTTACCTTAAATACAATAAAAAGTGGAGGAGCTGAGACTCAAACCAGGCACTCCAGTGTGGGATACAGGCAACCTAAGCGGCATCTTCACTGCGCCAAATGCACCCCTGCCCTGGAAGCCAACGTTTGTTCATGAACTCCCCTGCAGCCATAAGCTGCAGGAGGGGAGAGAACAAGAGGAGCAGCAGCACTCAGGGTGCAGTCAGTGAGGGCCTGCAAAGTAGCACTGGTGCAAAGTAGCACTGGTTTTCTTTTGCAGTTTACAAAAGTAACACTATGAATTGCCCAGAATTTTGCATCCAGAAAAAAGGAAAGAACATTCAACTTTGGGTGTGAATAATGTCCTTGGGAAATTATCGTGGCCTGTTTTCTGCTCTGTATCTGGATACAAGCAGATTTAAAAAGGCTAAAAATGGCCTTTTACTGCCCAAACTGCTTCATAATAGCTTTCCCCCAGTAGCTTTCCCCCAGTTTGTTAGACCTCATTGTAATGTTGTACCTTATCAGTCCACTTCTAAAGCACAATTTTAATATCTATCTGGTATCCTACTTTAGGGGTCTATCATAACTTTGAGCAGTCTCCTGTTGAGTGTTTGGTTGTGAATATTGCTGAAATAGAAATCATTGCACTGGTGCCTTTGTATATCTCAGGCTTTCCTAGCACAAACTTCTAGAAATGGAATTGCTGGGCCAAAGTGTGTGCCTGGTTTTAGAGCTTTTGAAACATTTTGCCAAATTGCCCTCCACAGGAATTTTTATTGTTTTACAGCCCAGTTGAATGCCTTTTCCCTACAATTTTTAGGGCTGGGGTCTGTGACGTGGGGAAGGGAGGGGTGGGGGTAAGGGTAGGGGTGGGGGTTGCTAGCCATGCTCTCAGGAGGCAGAGGACTCTGAGAAGAGGCACCCACTTCCCAGTGTGTTTTATCCAAACAGGGCGAGACTCTGGTTTTGTTTAAGCTGAGGAAGCAGATACAGGGCACACCTGTGAGTTTCAGGCAGTTTCTAGTACAAGGGTGTCCTTTGGAATATTCAGCTAGAGATCTAGACTGCTTTGTCTTCCTGGGGAAGGTATTTGGGACATAGACTAAAAAGTTATTTATCAGAGATTGAAATCTGACCGGGTGTCCTGCATTTCCATTTGTTAAAGCTGGCAACCCTGACCCCAGCGATGCCTGAGCAGGGCAGGAACTGCAGGGAGAGGGGAGCATCCAAGTAGAAAATTCCAGTGACCTCCGTTCAGGAAGAAGGCAGCCGCTGGGGAGACCCGGTGGTTTCCTGTGCTGGGGGCCCTTGTAGGGCAGAGCCCCACCCTTCATACCTGTAAGTGCCAGAGAGGATGTGGAAGGCGGGGAGGGAGATCCTTGGGAATAGGGGGCATGTAAGCGTCTAGTAGGGTCCCTTCTCATGGTGGGAAGTGTAGGAGTAGAGAATAAGGAGTTCTTGGGGCTGGCTGGCCAGAGGCTGGCCTGTAGTCAGCAACGTTGCACAGTGGCTGCTGACTTGGCCCAGGGTTTGGCCAGCTGTGAGATCCTGGGAGGTTTCTTGCCATGGCCATGCCTCAGTTTCCTCACCTGTAAAGCTATCGTTGTAGTCTCTGTTGCACAAAATTGTTGTAATGATTAAATATAGCCTTTCCTAGTCATCTTAAAAAAATTATTTGCAAGGTAGAGAGAGAGCACTCCAGCTGCTGGGGATGGGCTGGGCCGGAGCTGAGAGCGGCACTCCATTTAGCACGTCACTGTGTCTGGCAGGGGCTGAAGAACTTGAGCCATCACTGCTGCCCCCCAGGGTGTGCGTTAGCAAGAGGCCGGAGTCAGGAGAGGGGGGTCAGCATCTCTTGATTTGGGATGTGGGCATTTTAAGTGCGAGGCTGGATGCCTGCTCCCTCTCCAGTCATTACTACATAATCTCTCAGCATTATCTGGAATTTGCTTCTTTCTTTGCAATTTTTTCCCTTTCACCAAACAGTGGTGTTTCATCAGGGCAGGGATGCTGCCTGTCTCATTCTCCAATGTATTTCTGGTGCCTTGGCTAGTGGCTGGGACATAATAGATATTTAGTAAATATTTATTGAATACATATGTACATAAATAAAAAACTATCATAGCGCATGGTAATGAAGGGCTAAGGAGTCTATTTCCATCACTGTTGTGATTGCCACTGCTATCTGTGAACGTCAGTGGTAACTGTCACGGAGATTTTTAGATGTCTCAAACATTTAGGACTTCCTCCCTAGGAAAACCCCTTAAAGTTGCTGGGAAGTGTAAAATGTGTCAGATGGGAGAGAGGTGAGGGAGAAGCTGGGTGTGGGCCTGGGGGAGAGGGCATTTGGAAGAGGAAATCCTGGTGCAGGCTGTGAGGGTGATGGTCGGGAAGGGTCAGATGGGCCATTGTCTAGGGCCGTGGCTGAGCCAGGTGAATGATCCTGGGCGAAGAAGAGCTGACCGTGGCTGCTCACAGAGTTGAAAGGAGTCCCGAAGAAACAGTCTCAGAGAAGTCCTAGGAACCTGTAGAAGCAGCTGAGCTCCTCCCACAAGGGCAGTTTGGTTGGGGGGCTGCTGGCGGCTTCCTGGGCACTGTGCTGCTGCTGCTGCTTCTGGGACCTGACAGCCCCCCGGCGTCTTCAGTGTGAATCACCAACTTCTTTGCATCACTTGCACCTGATTGAAAGCCGCCACTGCCAGGTCGGGCTGAGGTCACAGGCCTGTATCTTGGCTGTTAGGGTTTAGGGAAGAGGTCACAGGCCTGTATCTTGGCTGTTAGGGTTTAGGGAAGCTAGTTATGTGGGCCGCGTGGCCGCTGGAGCAGGGGGAGAAGCTTTCTCCCCGACAGAGCCCTTAACCACATGGCAGAGTCAGTTCCAGGTTGACTGTGAGCGGTGAGCGGAAGCCCCTGTTGTTTGGTTTGTGCGCAGTCTCCTTTCCTGCCACTCCATACACTTGATCCACAGGCTGTTAGGAAAGAACTGGGGAATGAGGAAGCTGGATCAGAAGCAGAGCTGGGACTTGAACCAGGCACTCGGACATGTGAATGTGACAGTCTGTCTCTGATAGTATTATCCAAAGGTTTCTGCCACGATCCCTCCCATCCCACATGCACTTGACAATATGCTCTTGCTATTCACCTCTATCAAGAGATGGAGTCTAGGGGTAGGCACTGTGGTGCCCTGGGGTAAACCACACTCAGGACACCTGCAGCTCACGTAAGTGCCTGGAATAGGGCCCCACCTCTGCATCCGATCCAGCTTCCTGCTGATGTGCCCCACTGGGAGACAGGAGTGATGGCTCAAGTAATTGGGTCCCTGCCACCCATGTGGGAGATGTGGGTGGAGTTCCTGGCTCCTGCTATGGCCTGGCCTAGCCCTAGCTGCTGACTGCTCTGGCAAGACCTGCACTTTACAGCTCCAGGAAGGAGTACTGTATTATGAAATACTTGACATGAAAATTCAGACTGGATATGAAATCCTTTCACTAATTCAAGAGTTTTAAACAGCACCATTGTCTAAGGGAGAGAAAAGGAAGAACTGGTGGATTATTTACGTATCATTTTTTAAAAGATTATTTATTCGAAAGGCAGAGTTGCAGAGGCAGAGAGAGAGAGAGAGAGAGAGAGAGAAAGAGAGAGATCTTCCATCCGCTGGTTCCCTCTCCAATTGGCTGCAATGGCTGGAGCTGCATTGATTCGAAGCCAAGAGCCAGGAGCTTCTTCCAGGTCTCCCATGTGGGTGCAAGGGCCCAGGGACTTGGGCCATATTCTAGTGCTTTCTCAGGCCATAGTAGAGAGCTGGATTGGAAGAGGAGCAACCAGGACTCCAACTGGTCCCCATATGGGATGCTGGCACTGCAGGCGGCAGCTTTACCTGCTGTGCCACAGCGCTGGCTCCTATATATCATTTCAACTGTTAGAAAACTGAACGACTTTGAAACAGATTTTATGGGAAGCTCCTGACTTCAGATGGGCGCAGCTCTGGCTGTTGCAGCCAGTTGGAGAGTGAACCAACCAGTGGATGGAAGACTCCCCCCGCCCCCGCCTCTCCTCTCTCTGTGTTACTCTTTCAAATAAATAAATCTTTTATTATTATTTTTATTTTTGACAGGCAGAGTGGACAGTGAGAGACAGAAAGGTCTCAAATAAATAAATCTTAAAAGTTTTACATGTTTGTTGCTTACTTCTATGAGTAGTTCTCTTAATATTAACCATGAGGCCAGCACCGCAGCTCGCTAGGCTAATCCTCCACCTGTGGTGCTGGCACACCGGGTTCTGTCCCGGTTGCCCCTCTTCCAGTCCAGCTCTCTGCTGTGGCCCGGGAGTGCAGTGGAGGATGGCCCAAGTGCTTGGGCCCTGCACCCCAACACTTCTAACTGAAGTGTTGTATTCTTTGGCCAAAATCTCCTCAATTCCCCCACTTCCCTCCACAGTCTCTGGTAACCGCCATTCTACTGTATGCTTTTATGAGTTCAACTTTTTCCAATTCCTTATATAAGGAAGACCATGTGGTCTTTCTGTATCCAGTTTATTTCACTAAACATAATGTCCTCTAGGTTCATTCATGTTGTCCCAAATGATAGAATCCCCTTCTTCAAAAAAGCTCCTGGCTTCGGATCAGCGTGGTGCGCCGGCTGCAGCGGCCATTGGAGGGTGAACCAACGGAAGGAAGACCTTTCTTTCTGACTCTTATCTCTGTCCACTCTGCCTGCTTGTCAAAAAAAAATATTAACCATGAGTCATTTTAAGAAATCAGTGCTAAAGATTTTTTTAAGTTATTTGAAAGGCAGAGTGATGGAGAGATCTTCCATCTGCTCATTCATTCTCAAAAAGGCCACGATAGCTGGTTCTGGGCCAGGTTATACCCTAGAGCCTGGAACTCTGTCAGGGTCTCTGCTGTGGGTGGCAGGGGCCCAAGCACTTGGGCCATCTTCTGCTGCTTTCCCAGGCTCAGTAGCAGGGCGCTGGATCTGAAGCAGAGCAGCTGGGACCTGAACTGGTGCTCTGATGTGGGATGCTGCATTGCATGCGGTAGCTTAACCTGCTGTACCACAGCGTGGGCCCCAGTACTAAAGGTCTTGATCAAGAGGTGTTGAGCCATTATTCAAACACACAACCTAATACTGTGTACACATTATGAATACAGAAAAAACTGTGTGCCAATTATCGATAAAAATATATTTTTAAAAAGATTTACTTATTTATTTGAAAGAGTTACAGAGAGAGGAGAGACATAGAGAAGTCTTCCATATGCTGGTCAACTCCCCAAATGGCTGCAATAACTAGGGCTGGGCCTGGCTGAAGCCAGGAGCCAGGAGCTTCCCCCAGGTCTCCCACCTGGGTGCAGGGGCCCATATGGAATGTTGGGATGACAGGTGGTGGCTTAACCTGCTGGGCTGTAACTCAGGGGTCCCTCGAATTGGTATTATTAACTTTCCAAATCCATGTCTACCCATCTTTATCGTTGCTCGCATCTGTTTTCTACTGGTTGGTTTTCTCTCCATGCCATTCCCTCACCCCCACCTGCCGCAGACCGTGAGTCCCATGGGGACAAGGATGTTACCAGTTATTTTCTGAGTGTGGAGACCCATGCAGCTCTGGGCTGCCTGACCCTGTCTGTGTGGTCTGGGGATGCTCTCTGACCCCAAGTTCCCTTTAGCTCATCTCTCCAAACAGGGCCTAGACCACTTCATTCCTTGTACACCAGGGTTAGGATTTTCCTCTGGGGACCCCAGCCACCACACCTAGATCAGTCAAAGTTCTGGTCAGCAGCAGAATCCTTGCCTAGATGACGAAGCAGAAAAATAATTAGATATGGGGTAGCTCACTGAGTGGT